ATATCTTCAAGATTTATCCTTGGGACTTCACATTTCGGTTTTAGAGGAAACATACAATCGAGGAGAATTATATCTAGTTCGTCTTCATCACTGCTATCTGAGTCTGTGCTSCTATCTTCGTATTGCATAACGGTAAGAACATCATTGAAGTCTTGCCTACATTGAAGATTACATAGCAGCCAGGTTTTTATTGAATTTCTTTACTATATTTCAGAATAAGATTCAATAGATGAAACACCAACCTTGCTGCTGCCGCCATTTTCTTGAATGATGTGTTTACGTATTGCTAAATGTCCAAAGCGCATGTACCTCTAACTTCAAACCGCTGACCGCAAACTCCAGTTAGCGGTTTGCGGTATCTCGCAAAAAACGTCATGCTAAAAGTCTCTAATAACACCAAACTGCCATGCATAGTGCAAGGCGATAAACTGTACTTCAAGGGAAAGGAGGTCGCCGCGGCATTAGGATATTCCAATGCTAGAGATGCTTTAATCACACACGTTTCGGATAAGTACAAGAAAAGACTGTCTGAGTTAAAAGGGGTCGCGGCTCGCGACACCCTTACTGCGCAGCCACATTCCGTGTTTATCTCCGAGCCTGGTTTGTATGAACTGATATTTAGTTCCAAGTTACCCAAAGCCGTAGAGTTCCGCGATTGGGTCTTCGAAGAGGTCCTCCCCGCGCTGCGTAAGACAGGTAAATACGCAATAGAGTGGTGGTTTGACAGCCCAAACAAGTTGGTGTTCAAGATCGAAAATGAATTCGACCTGCATAAAAAGGTAGTGGATTACATCCGCAGGTTCTACCCCCAAATGCTCGTGGCCCCTGGTCTAGGCGAACTGCAGGACTCCGACGGTAAACGCATAAAGTGTTGGCAGAAAGGATATCAACGCGGCCAGCCCGACTTGTTAATCCTTAATGCACACGTGCGATACCGTGGTTTCTGCATCGAGCTGAAGACCCCCAAAGGCAACGGGGTATTATCTGAGGATCAACGTAAAGTACTGCAGCGGTATGAGCATAACGGGTTCAAAGTGTCTGTTAGCAACGACTACGACGACATTTGTAGGGATATCATGGAATATTCCCAAGGTATTCGTCTACCGTGCGCCTACTGCCGCAAAAGATTCAAGTCCACGGACACTTTGAAAACGCATTTAAAGATATTTCATAGAATATATGGCGTTTAATGTCGTAAGGCAGATACACTGGCGAGACTTAAAGGAGGGTGTTACGTATGAAATAAAAAATTATGTAGCCTTTGAAGATATTGACAGGCTACGGTTGTTATTGGCGCATGAGGGTGTTACGTACAGCCTGTGGGCGCCGGATCGCGTCCGTTACGTATTAGAAGGACAGGAGTTTACGCATCTGAGGTCGTATGGTAAGAAGGATGGTCGCTGGGCCTTTGACGTTGCAAAGTGCGTTCTTCCTTCGCCTCTATGTGGTTAGACGCGTCTAAGGTAGGGTCGTCGGCAGTGCTCGGCGACTCTTTTTTAACGATGCAGTCTGCAGGGGGTTTGCATGTAATACAGTCCATATATCTAAGGTAACCACAGGCGCCTATTAGGAAACCCCCAAAGAATGCTACTACGTGGGCTGTCATATATTAAGAAACTATTTTGGCGATGGTCTTATTCTTATTAAGGATTTGTTGAGACCCCGGAAACTATTTTGAAAAGATCCTCATTCTTATTTATTATTTGTTAAGGGGTTGGAAACTATTTCAGAAATATTCTTATTCTTATTTATTATTCGTTAATTACCACAAAGGAGTCCAAAAAAATATTAATTATCATCATTTGTTCCTTAACAAAATAACAATAATAAATAAGATATTCTTGAAATAGTTTTCAGGATTTAACAATTCTTTAAGAATAATAAGAATATTCTCAAAATAGTTTCCGGGGCCTTAACAAATTCTCAATAAGAATAAAGAATTTCCTAAAACAGTTTCAGTCGCTACGCCATTCAATTACGCGCTGCATGTATTCTCTGAACGTCCTTGGGTCGGCGCTCACGAACAAGCACTGCCAAATATGTTGACCATCTCTGACACAGCCGCAGCGGTCACACTCCGCTTCCCAGTATTCCCTGTCTTCCCATTTAACTCCTTCAGCCTYGTCAAACAGTGCAAAGCGCATATCTATTTTCTTCTTACGCTGTATGAGCCTCTTTTTGGTCTCCTGCGGACAACAGCGCTCCGCAAGATCCCCATGCTCATAACAGACGACCTCTCGCAGTTAATAGCGCCCAGCGCATCTTTCTCGGTGGCAATCGTYTTCTTTGTCCTCCTCGCAGTAAATGCAGACATTCTTTAGACAAAATCCCTGTTCTTCATGTGGTACTTTAACATCTGCTTTGTGCTAAACTTCCTCGAGCAGTGTTCACATGCATACTCTTGGGGTTTCTTGCACACCGCCTTTCTAACGTGGTAATTTAATCTTTGTCTGCTGCTGAACTCCCTACCGCATTCGTTGCACTCCATATATAACAAAAATTTAATAAGCCTCATTAGAATCACAAAGGATATTTTATGAAGTCCACGACGGACTCTTTGGCCCACGTTGCCATAGTTATCAAAGCGCCAAACCGCTCTGCACGCTTCAGACCGCACATTTCCTCATATAGCTCCTTTACGCGTCCATTCAGCCAGTCTATCTTCTCCCTTTGCATCTCTACCATCTTCTCTAGGTCTGACTTCCTTTTGACGATGTTAACCATCTCTTTGACTGCTTCCGCGGGCTTCATTATATACAATGGATCCGAACCATATTCCTTGTAATGCTTTGATAGTAGGACCTACCGGCTGCGGAAAGACCCAGTTCGTAGTAGAACAGCTATTAGGACCCTTTAGATACCGTTTCGACTACATAGTGCTGCTTTGCCCCACCTACGTGAACAACCGCACCTGGACGGGTGTGGGTGCGAAAGATGACGACTTCTTCGTGGATATCTTAGACCCTAACGAGTTATCTGGACATCTTAAGAGGGGTTTGCACTAAGGGTCACCTATGAGTTGCAAAATAAATTTTTTTCAAATTTCTCAAAATTGGCATGAGTGAAGGCCTCCATGCACTGAATTCATCGCTATAAGTTTTAGTTCGATCAGAATTTTATTTCCG